GAATCCACTGTTTAGTGTCTTCTTGATATATACATATATATATATATATATTATACACACACACACATATATATATATATGTATATATACATATGTGTATATACACATACACATAGCATCAAGACTAATTATAACTATGTTAGTTTACCTAAGTATTAAGAAACTTAAGAAATAAGGTACTGAGATAAGGGTAAGCAAACTTCCTCACACTTAAGAGTCAGCTACGGTTCTGTTTCCGCCCTTCTGTCTCCCTCTTCAGCAGCCGGAATGCCAAGGCAAGAGCAACACTAATACAGAGAAGGTATCTTCTGTTTTAGCTTTTTCTGTTATAGCCTTTTCTGTTTCTCAGCATTTTCTCATTTTTTGCTTAATGTACTCTTCTCAGTTTGCATGGTAGGTTCCTTCTGGTATTTCAGGCCTCAGTTGTAATTTTGTATCTGCTAATCTTTCTTCTTTTAGGGACTGCAGTGGAAGTGTTCTGGTCACTCTCCATCATTTGCTCTCTTTTATCAGCCATTATTGAGGTCCACACAATCTATGTTGGTGCAAACACTGTACATCCCTGCTTGCATGTTTCTGTTTCCTTGCATTACCATGAGGATTTCCGAGGGCAGATCTGTCTACCTTCAGCCTGTCTTCTTCAGCGTTGTATCTTTGGAGTGATGGACATGCCTTGTCTGGTAGACAAGAGGTGTTTATGAAACAGCTCGTATAACTCCCTAGCTCCCTAGGAGAATCTGTAGTTGGAATCAGCACACACACTTTGACAGTCTTGGTTCTTTATACAGTTCTGGCTGAAGTGGCCAGAAAACTAGGGAGCATTCAGAATGTTCAATAACTTTCAGGTGATTGTGAAAATCAGGATCGAGTTTTCACACATCTCAGAGAAAAGTGCAGGAGTTCTTATTTGCTATAGTATGCTGAGAACTCAGCTGGGAGAATGAGATTGAATTGCCCACATTTACTTGGTGAGTGATACTTTTGTTCTCCCCCTAATGGAAGTGTTAGGTGAGCAGAATTAGAATCTGAAATATTATTTTAATTAAGAACCTTACGATGCCCAGCTCCTAGGATGTCCTATGTCCATTCTCCTCTTCTTTCTCCCTCCATCTTCTTCCTCTTCTTTTCTACTTTCTCCTTTTTCTATCTTAAGTAGCTATATTTATACCTAACCATATATGTGAGTTTTAATCTCAATGGAAATCTTACTTGTACTATTTTAAGTTAATTCTGCACACCTAGTTAAGCAAGCTGTAAATTGTTTTTTTTTCCCTAAGCAAAAACTGGAAAGTCTTAATACTAGGTATTGGCAAACTTCAATTTGCAAAATAAACCTGATCTTATTAATAAAACAAGGATATTTTTCAAGTAAATTGGTTTATTTTTATATTTTATAATACTTACCTGTTAAGTACATACAACAGACCTAAGTACTGCTCTGTAAAACAGAAGTTCTTGTGATTATTAGGTTGTAAAATAAAATGCTCTTACCTGAAGAAATGTCGAAATATGGGCAGAGTACACACACACATGTGCTTATACACCCAGAAATAACAAAAACTGGGCTACTTTTAGAAACCCACCAAACTTTCCTGTTACTCGATATGTTAACAATCATACCAGTGAAAATGAAAACAATAATAGCAGAAAGTATCTTAGTAATCAGTATATTTTAGGCTTAATAGTTTATAAAATGTATCTAGTTTAATCCTCATAACTGCCTTGTCAGGTAGTACTGTCCTCATTTCATAGAAAGGAAACAGACAGTAAAATGCATGACTAAAATGCATAGTGAAAGCTGTTCTTCTCTGCACACTAGCCACCAGGTAGACATTTTCCCAATAACATAGTTAGTGGTCTTAAAAAAAACAAAGAAGAAATGATTTCTAATGCAATCATTCTTTTATTCCCCAACAAACACGATCTGCAATAGTAAGAACTAATTTATTTAGATAATCACATCTAGCCAGTGTTTGATAACATTATCCATTCTGCTTAATTATGCATCCTGAAGCTATCTATTTCCTCAATAATGTGAAATTAGAAAAGAAGGCTTAGCAGGGGCGTAAGAAAATGAATTTAGGCAATTCTTCTTAATAGTTATATTTTAAGGGTTGATTTAACAGTCAGGGGCAAGGCTCCTGTAGACTGTGTAGAGGAGCGAGATACTTGCCTTACACCTGCCCTCAAGAAAGTTACCACCATTTATCTAGAGGAGACAGACACAGACATGATTTCTGACAGCATAAGGAGGATCTTCACCATTATTAATTGAGGTTTAACCATGTCCTAGGCACTATGCTAAGTACTTCTGTCTTATAAAAATAGCCACCAATTCGAATTGCAAAACTGTAAAAGCAAAGAAGAGATTTGTCAGTATGATAGCATCAGTGGCTGGTGAAACCTGTGTCTAATATGAAGTATAGGTCTGCCTAATGTGCCAATGCTGCCTGTTCTGGGAAGAGGTCATGATAGGTGCTGGAAGAAGGTAGAGGACTACATCTCAAGCTCACCATACCAGGTTGGAGTATAAGAGTCATTCCTAGCCAAAATGAACTATCTTAATGTTACCCACTAGGTGCCCACAGTCTGTTAGTGTAAAAATCAACTGAAAATAAACACCGTGCATTTCTAAAAGCATATGACCATGGACATGCAGATTTAATTCCAGTGAAGTGAGATCTTATGTTCCTGCATGCCTACTCCATCGGTCTTGGACACCTGACAGTCACTGAGGATGGAAGAGCAGGGATATTCAATAGATATACAGAAGTGAAGAAAGGAGGTGAACCTGACCTCTCCGAACTGGTCAAAATGCTGTTTTGCAAGGGCGCCTTGACTCTCTGGAAACTATTCTTCAGCTCAAGTTTCCCCAGAAGCCACCATTCCTTTAATAAGAGGGTTAGAAAACAGCTGCATCTGTCCCCCATAAATTAGTGGCCTTCTCAAAATCGCTATTTAAGTATACTTTATCAGGGCTTACCATTTTAATACCTTTGTCTTCCTGCCAATTTATCTATCCTACTTTTAGTTTCAAGCTGAATCTGCTGAGTTTATAAATCCTTCATTAAAGTCTCCACATAAAGTGGAGACATGAGCAAAGTAACTTTTTAAACACCATGGCCAAGACATATATGATAATCTATAACTATTAAGCAAGAGCCATAATTTTGTCCCCAAACCACAGTCTATATATACCTCATTTTACCTCTTGAAATCCAGCTACCAAAGCCCTTTGGTCCTTGTTGATCACAGTTAATGCCAGAACCTAAGGGTGATGGTAGGGGGTGGACGCAATGTCCTTTGATGGAACAGAGTGAGAGACCAGTAGGAAAACATACAAAATCCCATTTTCGCTGTATTTGATGTTGGTATAATTTGGGGAGGGAAAGGGAAAAAACAAATTGTTTAAATAGGGATACAGGTGGACCCATTGCAACAATGAGATGTATAAGATGCTATGTTGAAAAATGAACTTTACAATTTAGGTAGAGGGTAGAGGTGGTGGGGGGAGGTGGGAAGGAAGGGATGGTAGAGGAAAATCAAATGAGAGGCAACAATGCTTGATAAGAAATGTATTCATTACCTTACTCATGTAACTGTAACCCCTCTGTACAGTATTTTCACAATAAAAACTTATTTAAAAATTATTATGAATATGACATTTCTTTAAGGCACAATGAAATGTACAAGTAGAGGTAAGTGTGTCTGTTTGGGAAGGGGTGGTAAGACCAAATAGTTTACAACCAGACTGCAGGAATTGTCCAACACATCAATGAGCAGATCACTGCTATGAGTGCGCTATAAGCTCCAATGCCTGAAGTCTTCTGCCAAAGGAGGTATTTTGTTTTAAAGACATTGTGTTATTGTTATTGCTTCTAATGGATTTATGGGCCACTCCACTTAGTCATAACCAAAGCATCACAGAAAACATATACACTCATACCAACAGTGTTTGATATTTTAAGGGAAAAGATCTTTCACTAAGCCATTCATCACCATTCTAAGATGTCAAGACTGCTTTGTTCATGAACAATTGAGAACAGATGCATCACTGAACACACTGAAAGGGAAAGAAATGTGAAAAGCAAATGTTCACACTTCAATTTTAGTATTGAGCATCAAAGTGTGAGTTTGCAATAATGTCAATCATACCTGATGGATTATTTTCAAATTAGAACTGGAACCAGTGTTACCATATACTATTTTGTTTTCATTTGTAATGTTCTGGTGCAGAATCCACTTAGTGTTTAATAGCTCCACATAATGCAAAAGATAATAAAATAAAAAAGAAGCAAGATTTTTCCTGCTCTACATTGAATTCTTAAGAGGAAGGTAAAACACAACAAAGCAAGAGATATATGCCATTTACAGTTCTGTGCTTGATCTTGGCAGTGATGCTTGACACTAAATGAATGAATGAGCCTTACGTAAGGAGAAATAAAGCTAAGAAATGGATGTAGCAAACCGGAAGCAGGCTCCTGGGTCCTGTGTGGGTTCTTCTTATCTTAAAGATACTTGTTAATTGTAGAGCTCTAGGACTGCAAGAGAAATCCTTTCCTAACTTCTGTCACTATTTACATTAAAACCATCAGGATGGTTTCCTGTGATGAAATTTATGAGCAACTTTTTCAAACAAAATGAGGACTATTCATTTTTAGCTTCAATTCTAACAGCCTGTTTTTCACTCATATACCTTCTATTCACTATAGCTGGCTTCAGTTGGATTAAAGTAATTTTATAAATGACTCACTATAAATCATTTCCCTTTTTCTATTTAATATTCTCGTGTTCAAGATGCATGGCCAGAGATTGACTTACTAGATCCACAGTGGTATTCATTACAAATAAAGGCTTGAATATATTGCCCATAGGGTAGGAACAAAAGAATTAATAAAGTTCATTTACCCTCACACCACTGAATTTAATCCTAGAAAATAACCTCTTTGTTTCATAGAACCAGAGTCTGCTTTTAATCACAGGGTGGTTTTGCTACTTACCACAAAAGAATAATAAATCTTGAATCCAGGTTTTGCCACAAAGTAGTCATCTGACTTGAATGTTATTTTAATTTGGTTTGTCCTTGATGTGATCCTTGGAGGAACTTCTTTGTGTCCACACCACCGGCCTCTAACAACTGTACTGGTTTCTGATACATCTTCAACTTCCACAAAATCATACCTAGAATAAGTTTGGATAATTAAATTTTGCTGAAAAATTAAAATGTGATTTCTCATGACTTGTCAACTGAAAACTACAGAAACGTTGGGAGGAGTTTCCCAGTTAGGTATCCAAACTTGATTGTCAATCATCTATTCTGGGAAAGCCCTTATATACCCTCAATTATGACTATTCCCAGATGATTAATAATCAAAGTGGGTGGCTTTTTGAGCATCTGGCATAGGAAGTTATCATAGAAAATTTAGCAACTACAATCTGTCTGGCATATTTCAGATATGGCACAAGCTATATACCCAAACATATACTTCATAAAGTTTTCAAACAAAATCCCACTTTGAGTTAATACAGCATATTCAGGCTTTCTTGGGACAAACATGATTGATATCTATTTAGCTTTATAATAAGGATAAAAATTCTCATTACAGGGCATACCTGTCTATGGACATGATTTATTTTATTCTTTTTGGTAACTATATTTGGAAGTATCACATCATAAAATATGATAGTTTTCATAAAGCAAACTATACAACCTTTAAGGAAAGTTATCTGCTAACCAATATCCAAAATGTCTTGGGGTAGTTACAAGGGGTGTGAATATGCTCAAGATCCTCAACTCACAGTCAGTACCCAGCAAGGAGGAAAGCAGCAAAGATGTCTTTTATTTATTTATTTAATTTATTCTGTGTGACCATTTAATACTCAAGTTCCCCTACCCATTCCACCCAAACCTATTCCATCCCACCACATCCCATCACCCCTTCATCTAGTAAGGCATCGTCAATGACAGCTATTTACATCTCTCAGGAATCATTGATTCTATTTTCAGACTCCTCAGGTCTTGGAACATTTTACTACCTGTCATTCTGTTATAGTCATCAGTATCTCACTGTTCCTCTCTAACTTTCCCTAAATGACTTTAAATATTAAAGTCACAAGCATTCTAGGTGAACAGTGGGCATGCTGGATGAAAAGTGACAGAAATCTCCTATCTTATCATTTTCTGTCAAAATTACCATAAAGAATCAGCATAAGAAATATCAAGTCTGAATAGGGAGATGGGCCACTTTGAATTGGGTAACTTTATCCAGGTGCCCCACAGTCCTTATTGCATTATGAAGAATAAAGAGTAGGTGAGAAATAAAGACATTGTGACTAAATTTCTTTGACAGTGATTTATGTGACTCTCGTGTCTTATGCCTCAGTTTCCTTATGGGTGAAATAAGAAGGTTTATATAATTTTGCCAGCTGGATATCTCTCGTGTGCCATGTAAATTACTTTATATTTATATGGTGCTTGGAAGGTGAAAAGCCCTAACAAAGAATCATTATTCAAGCAATAAAATATTACAATGTAAACATCAAGGAGGCTTTGGAACAGATGGTAGCAAATCAATTACATTTCATTTTATACATAATATGTATAAATCATGTTTACTGCACAAAGCTGAATATACTTGAAACTTTGCTAATAAACAATAAACTATTTTTATTTAAAACTACACATCAGTGTAATTTTAATTCTTGAGTCCAAAGTCAAGGACACACCAGAAAGTGGCTTTGTGGCTCAAATGGTAGGGTGCTAGCCTTGAGCACAAAGAGGTTCACAGATAGCACCCAGGACCTGAGTTCAAGCCCCAGGACTGCCCCCCCACCCACCCAAAACCAAATAGTTTTAGCTGGGTACTTCTGGCTCACACCTGTTATCCTAGCTTCTCAAGAGGCTGAGATCTTGGTATTGTGTAAAGGGCAGGAAAGATTGTGAGACTTGTTATCTCCAATTAACCACCAGTAAACTGGAAGTGGTGCTGTGGCTCAAAGTGGTCGAGTGCTAGATTTGGGTGGAAAAAGCTCAGGGACAACACTCAGGCCCCGAGTTCAAGCTCCATGACCCATGGCTGACAATAAAAAAAAAGAGCACACTATTATCTTCTCCTGCCCTTCTTCTTGGGGAGTTTAAGGCAGGTCTTGGATCTGTTTCTCTTCTTCCTCCTATTCTTCTACCTCATTGCATAAATTTTGGGAACCAATTACATTCAAGGAGTAAACCAGAAATGATACTATCCTAACACCTGATCAGAATCCTAGTGCAGCAATGCATTCCCTCCTGTGATTCTGCATATAGCAAGAAAAACATAATAATATATTTGGTGTTTATCTTTGGTCTTTTCCTAAGTCTGTCTGAATTTCTGCGAGATGAGATAAGACATGCTTCTTTTGTTATTCCTAATACACAATTTATGTTGCTATGATTGATTCTTGGTAGGTCCTACATAACTTCAGAATGGCATCAGGTCATCGCTCAAGGTATGAGTAGAGGGTTGGGATTTCCAACCCCACCCCTGAGCTTCTGGGGAGAAGGAAGGGTCTGGAGATTGAATGATTACATCAATAATGCTTACATAATAAAACCTCTGTAAGTCCCCCTAACTATGAGGATCAGAGAAGTTCTGGGTTAGAGAATGCATCAAGGCTCTTGGCCTGTGATACATCTGGAGAAATGTGCCCTTCCTACTCACTTTGCTTTACTTAGCTCTTCTGTTTGGCTCATTCAGAGTTGCAACCTCTATAATAAAACTGGTTGTAGTAAGTTATATGTTGCCTTGAGTTTCATGCATTGTTACAGAAAATCACTGAAGACAAAGAAGAGGTTGTGGGTCTTAGGGAAAGCTTGGGACTTGAAATTGATAGTTTATGTAGGGAGTTTTGAGGGATTGAGCCCTTAAGGGGATCAGATGCTAACACCATCCAAGTAGATGGTCTCAGAATTAAATCCAACAGTAAGGTGCCCAGCAGGTGTTGCTGAATTGGTTGATGCAGGGAGACCTGATCCCTACCACTAGGTGTCAGAATATTCTGTGAGGTACTGACACTGGTGTTTTTCATGTCATCATCTTAAACAGTCTTTAATAGGGTTTTTCTTCTAAACTATTGTTTGTTGTTTTTTTTTTTTTAGCACAGAAAATTAGTTCTCCTTTTCAAGGTTGAAAAGACATAAGATCAGCTTTAGTTTATTCTCTTTGTAAATATTAACTGGCTCTCCGTGCATGTGTTTGTCTTTGCTTTCTGGCATACATTACCCTCTATGGTCCTAGAAAGTAATAGTCACTGCTGTTATTCTCCAAAAAATAGCAACATAATAAAAACTGTCAGCATAATACACATGCAACAAAGGACGATCAAATTTGAGGCACTTTTTATTATTCAAGGGAAAATAAACCTGCTGGAAGGATTTAGCAGTTCAGTAGTTCATTGGCAATGCAGAACAAGCACATGCAGTAAAATATAAAAAGGGGAAAAAAAATCCTCCTCGAGTCTTATACATGATAATTAGGCACGTAAAATGCTGGGCCTGGACAATTCAAAGAGGAGCAGCTTGGACTTTCTCTGAGAAATGTGCTAAGGGATAGGATTAGCAGGCCCAGCTTTCATCTTCTACCATGACCCAGAAATGACAGGAAATAGACACCGAAGCAGCACACACACTGTGGGCGCGCCTCCCCTTTCTTCCACTACATACTGGAGGCATAAAGCTAAAATGGTCCTCAGCCATCTCCAGCACTAGTTACACAGGCCCTGTAGCTGAGCTGGGTTCTGTGTTCCCTTGGCCCATGGCAGGCTTTGGCCAGTGTGGTGAGGTGCAGCTCAGTGTGATGGGAATATATCTGTCCATCTGCTCTCAAAAGCTGCTCTGGGCTTGGAAAAGTCACAGATGTTGACATTCCACCCGGCCTATGGAGTCCAGCAAGGTAACCAGGCCCTATGCAGTGCAGTCCATTTGTCTGCTAGGGTGCACACAAGGGTTTTTGATAAAGAAGGGACACATCTTGGGTAGGCCAAAGGGATTAAAAGGAATGTTGGATGGGATGCTTTAAATTCATCTCTTTTGTTCAACTTTGAACAATATCCTTTAATGGAATTTTTTCCTCACTTACCTACAGATATCATTTTCTGCCTCCTCTAATCCAAACTGATGGTCAAAAGTGAGCTGTATCCTGGTTTTCTCCTGGGAGTGGAGCCGCCAGGTCAGAAGCAGGTTCCTGGGGTAGCTGCTGGGGAAGCGGGGGCTCTGCACATGGCCGTTGCCTGTCACCTGGATGGTCTCATCTCTTCGGTACAAGTCTGTGAGGTGATTGCCCTCTGTTAGTAGTCACAACTTGTAGAAATTAGTATGTTGCTCCAATTACAGGAAAGCAAAAAAAGAACAATTTATAACACATCACATCACAAAGGACTTTTCTTGACTTTGGTTTACAAATTGAAGAACAAGCGGCAGCCCTTCGTGGTAATAAACAATTTGTACTTGTTTCCATCCCTTCCCCAAGAATTTCAGGCTGGCCTCCCTTACAACTTTCCATGTATAAAATTTCCTGTTTTGAAGAATTTCCTATCACTCTAGAGCTAGGATGGACCCCAGGGTTTAACCATGCTAGGTATGATGTCTACTGAGCCATATCCCCAGCCCTCTCAATCACTCTTAATAAGCAGGAACCTTAGATGGGAATTAAAATCAGCAAAGAATTTCAAATGGTCCATCCACTTTTCTGTGTAATGTTAATAAAGGAAGCAATTTATTACTCAGAATGTGTAAAACTATATTTCTAGTGACTAGCACTGAAGGTAATCAATAATGTTAAATGAATGAATGATTGGGAAGCAAATGAAAAGAGGAATAGTGTTCAATGGCCATCTGTGTGATACTCAAATGGCATTTTTAGCTAGTTTCTTTACCACAAAAATGATATTTTTTCTATGTTTTTCTTTCTTAAACAGGCCCATTTCATTTGCATTTTCTGGTTGTTGTGGAATAAAGAGCTCATTAGATCTTTGTCCTGGGTTCTTGGGAAGATGCTCCATGCCACTGAGATTTCTCTAGTGGTAAGAATATCTGTTGTAATTGGAGATTCCTTAGGATCTCACCTCAGTTTATGCTAATGTGGTGGTTTACTACATCCCTAGATAGTTCCAGCATAGGGGCTATTCATGCCAGAAAAAACAGAATATGGCTAGAGTTAGGGCTTCCAGCCATATGAAATCACTGATCTGCCCAACACTGGGAGGTGAGTGGGATTGAGTATGGGCTCCATCTTATTGCCAGTGTTCCAGTCAATCATACCTACATAGGAGAATCCATCAAAAACCCTAGACATAAGGCCTAGAAAAGCTACCTGGTTTGAGATAGATGTACCAGGAAGGCGATGTATCCTGAGGATACATGAAACCAGGTATTACTCCCGGTGTTCTTCATTTCATTGGTCCTGATTTCTTTCCTTTTTAATACAGTTTTATTGATAAGGATAGTGCTTTCCTGAGTCCTGTCAGTTGCTCTGGCAAATATTGAACTTGAAGTGTTTGGAAAACTTTTGAATTTGGTTTTTAGTCAGTTGAGGACCCTCAAACGTGCAACTAAAGTCTAAAATGGGGGCAGTGTGTGAGGCCTGTGTCCTTAACCTATCAAATCTGACTGAGTTTAAATTAGCATGCATTATACAAAATACTATCTTTTCCTATCTCCCGTATTTGTTCTTTGCATTTTACATGTTCGTTTTTTAAGGCTCCACCATAAACAGACCTCAAGCCATAGTCTATTTGTGCGCTCCCACGAAGAATTTACTGAGAGACCTATAATTCAGTGAGCCTGGCAAGCAGGCGGAACTGGTGGGTGGAAAGCTTTGTGGGGTAGGGCTGCAAAGGGTGGCTCTTAAGACTTCTAAAATGAGAGAGGGAGGTTAGACAGAAACTGGCATGTGATACAAACCCTCTTCTTTTCCATGTTGCTGTGGATAAGGAAATGTAAGATTCTTTTCTTTGAACTCAGTATGTAATGTGTTGCAATTTGATCAGTGAGACTTGGTGTAGGAGAATCATAGGTAGAAAACGGGGGAAGGGGTAAACTGATGAGCTCATATCCCTGATCCCCACCTCAGGATCATAACACTGGCAAGGTAGTAATGTCACCTGTACCAAGCTCAGCAACCAGACAACCTCACAGCTACTGGAAAACAGTGTTTGCCATTTGACCTTGTACTCTTCTCCCTTGATCTTTCACTGAAAATGTAGCAGGGAAAGTTACTTGTCTGCTCATTGTGTCATAAGGGAGTCTTAGGAAAAGTGTCTGATGGATGTTTACTAGGTTGACCAATGTGAACTACAATTATACTAAGGGCAAAACACACACCTGGGCAATCTAGTCCCACAGCTAATGCTCTACACAGTGTTCTTCCTTTTTAGTTTGAATTTTCTGGAGATTGTTTTAGACTCTAGGCTATCTGGAGTACATTTTAACTGTGAGATTACATTGTTTCAATATAATTTATAACTTAATGCCAATTCAGGGCTATTCTTAGCAGAAGAATTATACAGAGCTACATCCTATCAGGTTAAACCTGAGATAAATAACAGTATTATACACAAAGTCACATTCCTGAATAAAAGCATTTACTTTAGTGTTCCAATAATAGCTAAGATTCGTGGAACAATGATTATGTGCCAGACACGGAAAACGTATCTTAAAGGAACTATGTCACTTAACTCTTGCAATGACAGTATTCAGTTGCCAATACGTTCCTACAAATGAAGTTCTGGGAGTTTGAGACACTTGTGGCTCATGGTACAAAGCCACAATGGAGCCAACGCAGTCTACTACCCTAGGCTATTTTCAGAGTACACAACTTAACCAGAGCACTGATTAGGCTGAGGGCTACAAAAAAGTAAATGAATCAGTTCCCATTGAAAGAGAATAGTTTCTATGCATGTTTATATTGCAAGATATAGAGGTGCTTAGCCTCATAAACTCTGAACTATGCATTTGACTTCAAAAGACTAAAATATAAAGAAGCTAAAATATATTTACCTATTGTGCTCCCAATGCTTTTAAAACCTCCATTCATCCAATAAAATTTTTCCAGAAGCTTTTAAGAATCACTCACTCACTCATCTCTGAAATTAGACCCAATGCTTCCCACAGTGACAGCAGCATTGGCATGAACAGGAGTCTGATCAAAATGCAAATTTCTAAGTCCTGTCCCATACTTACTCAATAGAAATTTAAAGATGGAGTACAATGCCACCTGTGTTAACAGGCTGTCCAAGCAATCCTGATGCAGCCTAAATCTTAGGAACCCTAACTACATATATTTGCTGCTATCTTGTTTTTTTATCCTCATCTTCCTTGGTTCTGTCACTTCCTTGCTTTAACTCTGTTCCTCATATCTGGTTTTCTATTTCACCCCCTAGACCAGTGGGTGACCTGTCTTGGGATTGATTTTCCCACTGTTGACTTTGGAACCAACTGTAGAGTATCATTGATAGTGCGCAAGGGCCTACAATAAGGAGCTGCCTGTTTCTGAACCCATGGCATTAGACAGATGGGTCTCACCCCTCAGTTTAGCTGTCTTCATTCATGGAGAAGTCATCATTGGTCCCAATGTATTTAGTAATCCAACACACACACACACACAAAAGAATGCTTATGGTGAAATGAAGTGCTTAATAATGGCAGTATTTTATTCTTTTTTCCCTGCTAGACTATGATATTACCTACAACATCATCACGAAATGTAAAGGGTAAATGCTGATCTGTTCAAGTAAGGATAAAAAACCATATGATCCATGCTGCCATATGCATAATGATGCGAGTTATAGGCCTGTCACCTCACAGAAACTCAGTGTGGCAGTACACACCCACTTTTCCCAGTGTCTCCACAAGACATCTAGAAACAAGCAAACGGAAGTCTCAAATACCATAACTTTCTTCTAGAAGCCAAAAGCAAAGACGAGTCATTCAATCAGAACTTTCCTGACTTGCAAAGAGATTATGACTAGGTTTCATTTGCAAATGGCTGTTTCCTCATTCACCAAATGTATCACAGAATAAAGCTGAATTTTAAGTCAACTATTACTCCCACTTCTGCTGCTAAATGATCACAGGTAAGCTCAGTTCCTGCAAGATGAAATGCAAGTTATACATATCTATCCCACAAGTCCACCATAAAAAAGTTGACAAAAATGGGAAGTAAATAATATGGGTTTCCTTCTGATTTTTAAAAGCATTAATTTTTGTGTTACTTAAACAGGTAAAAAAAAAAAACCAGCGTAGAGGAATTAAAATAATTTTATGCAAATCAAAAGAATAAAAGGCTGGTAGAATACATGTGAAGGCCAAGACTTGAATTCAGGCACTACATTTTTCCCATCCTAGTAACTTTGCCCATCATTACAGAGAACAGCATTAGATATACCATGCCATCTTGCTGGTATCTGTTACCTAAAACTTTAGTAGTATGGGAATTGTAGCAGTTCAGGGTTTTTTTTCCCTAGGTACAAGATTATGTAACAGGTGTTTTGTTTTGTTTTGTTTTCCTAGATGACTGCCAGTGGTTTGACCATGGGAAAGAGGCAAAAGGAAACAGCAGTGGAACAATAAAATCTGAAGTTTAGGGTTTTCCCTGGGAACAATGGCTTGAGAAGTTTATCTAGAAAAATGACATAGTGAATACTTGCGTGCTGTTATCTATAGGATGATTTTATTAAAATGGTCAAACACATTGTTTAGGAAAATATTTCTCACCAATTGGAAAATTATTACCTCACATAACTATCCACCTAGCATATTCATTTGTATTGGAGATGCTAGGGAGTAATTAAGTCTTCGAATTTAGACACAATGCACTTCATAATATGCTTCTATTTTGTAAACTAAACACTTCTCTCTGAGGGTGGTTATATGTAAGAGATAAAAAGAAATTTCTTCAAAAGTTTAATAGAAAAGTAGGAGAAGAAATGATAGCACAGAATATTAAATTCCTGAGAGAAAAGTTTATGTCTTGTTTATGTAATGCAGTCTTTTGCCAGTTTAACTGAAAAGCAGAAAGAAGAAAGCAAGGTAACAAAAGACAACTTAATAAAAAATAAAGTTGTAAAAGGCCTCAGATATTTATTTTGAAGAAACTCAATTCCACTGTAGCCAGTGGGCATGACATTTGTGCAAACACAAATTTAATATGAACATTAAAGAATTATTTTTTGAGAGTTCCATCAAAACGATCCTGCTTGATGTCTGGTTTAGATATTCTCAAATTCTCAAATGACTATCTTTTATATGAGTTATCTCTATCCAGTAATCTATGAGTTCTACCATG